GGAGAGGTTGCAGAGAGCGAAGGGACTAGGCCCCAGACAGCAGAGGGAGAAGTGAGAAGAAACAGGAAAGAGCGGCCAGCAGGGTGTGGAGAGAGGTAGCTTGGGCATCTAGGGTGGGCACAGGGGACAGGCATTGTCGGAGAAGAGGGCCTTCTGGGACCCAAAGCCTGGTAAAAACAGCTGCCCATCCTCCATGGGTTACAGGCTACACTAGTGTACGCACAGGCCAGAGCCCATCCAGTCCCCTCACCCTCTGGGCAGGATGAGGTCGCCTTAGTGACCATTTCCAGCCCTCTGGTACCCTCTCGTCACAGCCCCGGAGAGCCCCAGACGCCTCCTCAAGATCTGCCCCTTGACTGGGCTCCAGGCAACCCAGGCCACCTGCCATTGCCCAATCTGCTCCCAGGAAACACGGTGAGAGGTGAGCGCCGGAGGAGCGCAAACTGGGTGATCTGGGGAGAGCAACTTGGCCCTGGATCCGACAGGTCGCCCGCCGCCATGAGCGAGGCCAGGAGCTTGCCCAAGGCCTGACCCGCAGGTCTCTGGCAGAGACAGGCCTGCGGGCTCCCGGGGACTTACCTTCACACCATCGTTCTTCTTGTTCCCTCCGCTCTTCCCTCCTGTGGAGGAGAGAAAGTAGAGCGTTAGCAACACCAGGCAGGGCACCAGAGCCCACAGCGTGAGGAAGAGCAGCATTTGCCGGCCGGGGAGGAGAGTAGTGGCGGGTGGACTGTCTGGCAACAGAGCTGGCTTGGCCACCAACGGGAGACTTCCTCTTCCTCCTCTCCGTCCGCTGGTCTTCCACCTTCCACTCACTCCCTCTTCCACAGAGTGGGCCTGCGATTCCCCAGTTCTCAGCAGTCTCGGGGATAGATAGCCCTGGGACTTGGGGCCTGGGAGAGGTGTCCCAACGTGTCCCCCCGGGACGGTAGGATTGTTGTTTGAGCCTGGGGATTCCCTCTGGATCCCTGTCACCGATGCTGCTGGTGGCCAACTCAGAGGCCTGCAGCCCCGGTTCAGGGCTGGAAGCTCCCTGCTTTGGCCCCCACCTGCCCTGGCCTTCTCTAATTTTAGCCCCATGCTGCTGCTGAGGTCATGTGTCAGCCCTGCCTACTCAGTCTGGACAGCTGCAGACTGCATTTTGCTGGTGACGAGAAGCAGATGTCCCCCCGCTGGGGCCCACCCTTGCCTGCCAGCACACTCATTCTCTGCCTTTCTTCTCAGCAGCACAGACCGAAGTTCAGCCTCTGGAATCCCACTCTAGGGCTGGCTGCTGAGTCCCGGCGGTAGGCAAAAGCCCAGCCACCGCTCACACGGAGGCTTGGACCGTGCATTTCCCCTTTCCTCCCTCGTTTCCTGACTGGAGCCCTGGCAGTGGGTATGAGACAGAGTAGCATGGGTGCCCAGCCCTACCCTGCCTGGTATTTGACCACTTCAGACCTTTTTAAAATATGCCCTAAATGAGACATGGTTCTATGAAGTGCTTAGCACAGCATTCAGGATATATATAGTCGGCCCTCGATGACATTTATGATTAGTCCTTCTCCAGGGAGCCCCAAGAGGGTGAACTGGGGGTGGGGGTGGGAGCGTTGAGGGTACAGGACACTGATGCCCCAGGGCCTCTGAGGGATGAGCTCACAGATGCTCCAGCTCTCAGTCCCTCTATAACTCCACCTGTGACACCTCAAAACTCCCAAAGGGTAGAGGTCATTTCTGTGTGCCATGCCTGAAAGTCTCTCTCTCTCCAGGCTGTGCAAGTGGGACCAGAACGCACAGCAGGGGAGAGTGTGCACCTTGGGGACTCTCTGCTCCAGGCCACTGTTGTACAGGCTTGTGTCCAGTGTAGCCAGACCCTCATTTTCTTTTCTTTTCAGAATAGGCCTACACTGGCCTTGATTTACCATGTGATCTTCTGATCTTCTTGCCTCCATCTCCTGAATCCTGGGATTACAGTCATGTGCCACCACACACATGTGTTGCTGGCTTTTTTTTTTTTTTTTTTTGTATGTTTTGTTTTTTGTTTTTCCATACAAGGTTTCTCTGTGTAGCCCTGGATGTTCTGGAACTTGTTCTGTAGACCAGGCTGCCCTTGATTTTTATTTGGTGTTGGAGAAGAACTCAAGGCTTCAGCCGGACAGTGGTGGCGCACACCTTTAATCCCAGCACTCAGGAGGCAGAGGCCAGTGGATCTCTATGAGTTTGAGGCCAGCCTGGTTGACACAGAGAATCCCTGTCTCGAAAAACAAAACAAAACAAACAAACAAACAAAAACCAAACAAATGAGAACTCAAGGCTTCATGCATGCTAGGCAAATACTTGACAATCTAAGATACATCCCCAGTTCCCAGAATATTTTCAAAAGATCACAGAAATCTCTCTCTGTCTCTGTATGTGTGTCTCTCTCTGTCTCTCTGTCTGTCTCTCTCTCTGTGAAATCTCTTGATTTTTTTTTTTTTGTGTGTGTATAAAAAGTTGACGTGTGTATGTCTGTGGCACACAAGTGGATGCTAGGTCTAATGTTGGATACCTCCCTTGATCACATTCTTCCTTTTCTGGGGTGGGGTTGGGGGACAGGGTCTCCCTATGTAGCTCTGGCTAGAAGTTTCTTTTTTTTTGTTTTGTTTTGTTTTGTTTTGTTTTTGTTTTTTCGAGACAGGGTTTCACTGTGTAGCTTTGTGCCTTTCCTGGAACTCACTTGGTAGCCCAGGCTGGTCTCGAACTCACAGTGATCCACCTGGCTCTGCTTCCCGAGTGCTGGGATTAAAGGTGTGCACCACCACCGCCCAGCTAGAACTTTCTATATAGACCAGGATGACCTCAAACTCACAGAGATCTACCTGCTTCTCTGCCTCGTGAGTGCTAGGATTATTTAAAGGCATATACCACCAGCTCCTCCTTGTTTTTTGAGTCAGGGCTTCTCTCTGAACCTGAAGTTTACTGATCTGCTAGACCAGGCAGCCAGCTCACCCTGTCTCTGTCTCCCAGTGTTGGGATTACAGGTAGGTACTGACACATTTAGCTTTTCACGTGGGTACTGGGGATCTGAACTCGGTTCCTCGTGCTAGCCCTCAGGCCCTTTACCCAGGGAGCCATCTCCCCAGCCCCCCCCCCAAATCTTTAATTTTTAACGGTTAGAAATCTAATTCCTCAATTTTCCTTTTCTTTCTTCTTCCTCTCTCCTCTTCCTTTTTGTATTGGAAACCAAAGTCAGGCCCAAAAATCCTTCTTTATGTGTGTTTGTGTGAATGCATGTGCACCACACTGTACAGGACCTCATGGAAGCCAGAAGAGAGCATTAGGTCCCCCAGAATTGGAGTCACAGGCAGCTGTGAGCCTCCATGTAGATTCCAGGGACCAAGCCTTGGGTCCTAGGCAAGAGCAATAAATGCTCCAACTGCTGAGCCATCTCTTTAGCATTCCTCTGCCACTGTGAGGGGAAAAAAAACAAAAACAAGCCGGGCGGTGGTGGCGCACGCCTTTAGTCCCAGCACTCGGGAGGCAGAGCCAGGCGGATCTCTGTGAGTTCGAGGCCAGCCTGGGCTACCAAGTGAGTCCCAGGAAAGGCGCAAAGCTACACAGAGAAACCCTGTCTCGAAAAACCAAAAAAAAAAAACAAAAACCACTTCTCCTCACAGCCCTGGCTTACCAAGCCACGGGCCCCTGTTCTGTGGGCTTGAGACTGGCATTCTCCGGGGTGCTATAATTGTAAAACAACAAAACAAAACAAATTCTATGTAGCTCAGCTTTCTGTGTTCAGTGAAAGGCATGGCCGGATCCATAACTGAGGAGAGTTCAGTGCGGATGCAGCCCACTTCTGAAGCTGGACCTTCTGCTGGGCCATCCATCATATGGGCAGACCCTCCTAGGGGACCCAGGCCAGCCCTCTGCTCAGAAGTGACCCCTGGCTGCGGTTGGCCTGTCTGTACACGCAGCTGTCTGTGCTGGCCCAGCCCCGGTGCCAGGGCCCTTCCAGTGAGCTCGGCCGCTTCCGCTGACTATATCTGCTCCGCTGCGCCGGCAGCACCCAGGACTCCCCAGGGAGAGGCCTGAAGCGGCATTGGCCCGTCACTGACCCTTGTGCCAAGAGGAGTTGCTAAGCTCCGACAATAATCTCTTTCCCTCCTGTTTGGAGCTACATGCCCAAGTCCTTGGCCACTCCCTGCCTGGGAGTCTCCTGCCCCGGGCTCCTGGGTAACCCAGCCTAGAGAAAAGCACCTGCTCTGGGTTGGTCAGACCTATGCTGAAGACAGGTGCTGCCTCTCTTGAGTTCTGGGACCTGGGAGGAGACCGAGAATATTCTCTTATGCTTTTATCGTCCTACCTGGAAAAGGGGGGGGGGGTGAGTGCCACCCCACTGCTTGTTGTGAAGCAATCTGAGCTGAAGCTAAGCACCTGTTGGTTTAAGGCTCTCAAGTCTGACCCTTTCTGCTGGACGAGACCGCAATCACTGTCTGCCCCTCTAGCTGGCCTGGCCTGAAAACCCCAGTGCTGCCGCGGACTGGGAAGTCAGACTGAACCTCTAACAGGGCCTTGGTTTGCTGACTTTTAATCTCTTCTTTCCTTTCTCCATGCCGATTGTGATAGGTGAGCTAAGCCTGGATCATGTATCCTCCGCAAGCCTTCTGGGGACACCCAGCTACCCAACAGTGCAATGGCATCCAGCAGACGGGTGCAGGATATCCATCCCGTCCCGGGGACTCTCACCCCACCACCTACCGGAGAAGTTCCTGGTGGCCAGCATAGTAGTGAGGATGGCTCCCTGCAACAGAAAAGACGGGCCCGAGAAGAGGTCCAGGTGAGGGAGGAACACAGACAGGAAGAGAAGAGCACATGGAAGAGCAGGCGGTGTGCTCTTCAGAGACAAGCCAAAGCCTCTGCCCCTGCCCCTCCAGCGGACCCCACCCCACCCTCCAGCCCAGAGCCCATCCGCTCTCCCTGGAGGAGTAGCTTTGACAGGCACAGGTCTTGAGACAGGAGCAGACATGAATAGGTCCCGAGGTCTGGCCAAAACGAGTAGACCCCAAAACACTCTAGCAGGGGCTCCTAACGGCTACCGAAGTTTCCTGCCTGGGTCGGGAAGGCCAACTAGGCTTGGGCTGCTCTAGGCTTGGAGGACCTGGCTCTAGAATCCATCCTTCCCTCCACGGCCCCAGAGGATATCAACTTGGAGAAACCCCCTCTGTGGGCGAGGGGCTGGAAACCAGGGCCCAACTTGGTCATCGTGCTGTCTCATTAAGACCTGACTCAGACCATCTCCAAATCCAACAGCCCCTCCAGTTAAGAATCCCAGGTCCCCACACTGGGAAACTTCCTTCTTCTGGGACACTTCCCATGGGGGTGGGAGTGGGACTCAGTATATCTAGCACAGTGCCAGTCGTCACCCTGTGGGTTCAAGTCCCTGTCCTGAGCCTCCGTTCCAGGTCCGGGAGCAGTAGGTAAGGGAGGTTCCCGGTGAGCCAAGGCCTCCACATCTGCCACCCTCAGTGTCCCCATCAAGCGCGCTGACAGCTAGCTATCCTAGAGAAGCCTTCTCAGCCTGCCGAGTGCAGGACCTGCTGAGAAGGCTCAGTTCAGGACCCACCTTGATTCCATAGCGGCTTCCTCAGCCCCCCCCCAATCTATCTCTGATGGACTCATTCACTCTTCCTCCATGTTCAACAACTGGGATTCTCTCTCTCTCAACCGTGGTTTCATGTCTGGTCACATGTTGCCCCCGACCTCCCCCCAAAAAACTCTCTTAAACCATCCGTGGTTCCCTAGAGAGCAGTGCTCACACTTGCAGACATCTGTACAGGCCATGCTGTCTGGAACATGCCCCCCTTGTCACGCTACACCTATTTGTCCTGAAGAGTCAACTCAAATGCCACCACCTCCAGGAAGGTCTCTTGAGATCCTTCCCAGAATCCTCCAGACCAGGGAATGCCATCCCCCTGATGTGTTGCCTGCCGCTGTCGGGTACAGTACTCACCATGCCCCAGCAGAGTCCTGCTTGTCTGACCTCTCGCTCAGAGTGCAGACAGGGTGGGGTGGGGTCAGACTGGCTGCTCACTCCCCCAAACCCTTGGTGGCCAGGGCGCAAGAATGTCCAGAAAACACACAGGAAACCGACGAGGGGAAGAACTAGTGGGTCCAGGGACACCAAGGGTCAGGACCGGTTACCTTCAGTTTCCTCCGGGCATTGAACTTCTTCAGGCAGTCCACGGTCTCCTGTCGGTGCATGCAGGAGGCCACAGTGGATCGGTGCTGGAGAGAGGATGAGAACTGTGTGAGCGGAAGGCCTGTGGGAGGACAGACCAACCCAATCCTTCACCCTGCCACATGGGACGGGGTGGTTAGGATCCTGGCAGCAGTCGGCCGATGCCAGTGATACCCCCTGCAATGTGATGCCAACCTGGAATATCCCTCATTTCTATATTGCCCCTGAGACCCACAGCGAGTCAGAGATTCTTGGATAAGGCCCCCTTGTAGTGGGTAGCCAATCCAGCTTTGATCTGGAAGTCCCAGCCCCCATTGAGGCTTCGGGAACTGTCACGCCTACAAAGCAGGGCCGAGAGAAGACCCTGAAGACCCGAGATCCGGATACGCGCAGGCTCTCTTGGTTCCTGGACCCTGGACCCTGGAGGTAGACAGAGCAGAGTTCTCCAGAGAACACCGCTGGACTGCGCTATGCCTTTCCCAGATCCTGTTACCTATTCCTTCACTTGTGAGTTACCCCACAAAATAAACCTCCCTTTTAACTACGTGGAGTGGCCTTAATAATTTCACCAATAACCCCTCAACCCCACACTGAGGCTGTGGGGTGTGGTACAAGACCCTGAGGGACCAGGCCTCCTCCCTGGGCTGGGCTGAAGAAGCCTCACCGAGATCCAGGGATGCTTGAGAGCCTCGGCGGCCGTGATGCGCTTGGATGGGTTGATGGTCAGCATCTTATTGATGAGATCCTTGGCTTCGGGGGTGACGGTGTCCCATTCCGGCGATGGGAACTGGAAGGGGCAGAGGGGCCAGGTTTGCCTAGCCTGCCCCAGGCCACCCCTGCGATCCTCCAGCCCCTGACTGGCAGGGGAGCAGGCAGGGGCTCTCATGCCCAACCACTCAGACATCCACAGGGTACTTAGAAGCCTGGGCGCGGGACCCTACTGAGAAACTCTCGTCCCTGTCAGTAAAGCCTCTTGGTCCTCAACCTCTCTGTGTGTATAATGAAGGGTGATAGATTATGATTGGGGTCATGGTTCCATGTGATAATACATGGAGAATATTCAGAAGAATGAGAAAGAAGTGCTCGGTTATTTTAATATAAGGAAGAAAAAAAAAGCATGTCTCAGAGTCAGGTATGATGGGAGACAGCACTTGGGAATTGGGACAGGAGATTAAGTGACTACATAGTGACTCTCAGACTACCCTGGTCTCATGAGACATTATTCTTTTTTCAATTAATTAATTCATTAATTATAAATACGTAAGTAAAAATGCTTGGGGCCTGTTCCTTGTCTCTACCTTCTAGTGCTCCACGGAATAAATTCTATGACTTTTAGACCCTAAATCACTAGGCACCACGTGGCCATAGCCTGACTCTGCTGGTCAGTCTTGGAGCGACCCTGACTGAGCAGTAGAGAGTAGTGGTGTGTCCCAAGACCTCTGACCTCCTAGGCTCCTGGTTCCCATCAGAAGGGAGCATCAGCTGGAGAGCAGAGTAACACTCACATCATAGGCACCAGCTTTGATCTGCTGGTACAGGCGGTGCTGGTCCTCGTCCCAGAACGGGGGGTACCCAACCAGCAAGATGTACAGGATGACCCCTGGGGAGAGGAGCAGGAGAGGAGAGATGAAGCAGGAGCGTGAGGAAAGTGGGGAGGGACCTACAGGCCCTGGTGAGAGTTAGGCCTTCGGATGGACTTACCGCAGGCCCACAGGTCCACAGGCTTCCCGTACGGGTCCTTCCGCAGCACTTCTGGGGAGAGGTATCCAGGTGTCCCTGCGAACCCTGCTCCCCAGACACACAGACAGGCAGACACACACACACAGGTTGGCACGTGAGTAGCCTGGAGCAAGACCCTGCAGGAGAGGGGACGAGGATAGCCCTGGAGCTGCAGAACACAGCCCTGCCCCAAAGCTGGGGTTGTACTGTGCAAACCCAGGGGTCTTGGTAAGCTGATGAGGCCTGTGCACCAGGCTGGACCAGAGAGGTATATAACACACCTGCCTTCTACTCCCCATCCAGAGCCTCAGGTAGACAACAGTAATCAATTACAGAGTTCCTTTCTCTGTGGGTCCCAACCTTCCCTGGAGCCATCACCTACCACTTGCTGGTGGCCTTTAAGAGCTGATCCATTGCCCATACGCTATACTCTGTTCAAGGGCTGTTCATGAGGTGACAGAGGTTTGGTCCTAACTCTGGCTATGTTGTGTGTGCATGCGTGTGTGTGTGTGTGTGTGTGTGTGTGTGTGTGTGTGTGTGTGTGGTATGTCTGTGTATGTGTGTGTGGTGTGTGTGGTGTATGTGTGTGGTATATGTGGTGTGTGTGTGTGTGTGTGTGTGTGTGTGTGTAGAGTGTATGTGGTATGTGTGGGGTGTGTGTGTATGTGTGTGCACCCATGTACGAGCGTGTGTATTTACCTTCCAGGCCTTAGTTTCCTAATCTATCAAATAAACGATTAGATGGTCTTACCTTTTTAATACTTCTCAATACTGAGAAGATTATTGGAACAATGAACACCAAGATATCTTAACTAGATATCTTAACTAGTCCTCTCAGGAGTAGTTACTAGTTGCTGCAGATGTGTGCTAAGCATTGGGCTGGTCACTTCACATGCCTGCTATTAGTTACCGTCTTGGATTCCCTGGGGGACATGCTACTATCCTCTTCTTTTTTTTTTTTTTTTTTTTTTTTTTTTTTTTTTTTTGGTTTTCCGAGACAGGGTTTCTCTGTGTAGCTTTGCGCCATTCCTGGAGCTCACTTGGTAGCCCAGGCTGGCCTCGAACTCACAGAGATCCGCCTGGCTCTGCCTCCCGAGTGCTGGGATTAAAGGCGTGCGCCACCACGCCCGGCGCTACTATCCTCTTCTAAGAGACGAAGAAAACAAGACTTGATTAAAACCACACACCTTGTAAGTAGCAGAGTCAGGATTTGAACCCAGAACTCTGGTTCTTATTTGTTTTTTGTTTTGTTTTAAGGCAGGGTCTCATATATGTAGCCCAGGCTAGCCTTGAACTCCTGTTGATTTGTTGGAATTAGAGGCAGCTGCCACCACACCCAGCTTAAGCGTTCTGGGTCTTAGACACTGGTCAGTATTGCTCACTAAGAAGAACCCAGAAGGAGGAAACATGCATGCCCCATCATTTCCAATCCTGAAGCAGGCTAGGTTGTCTACACTCAAACACCAGGGCTCTACACCTGTCAAGTTTTCCTGACCGTTCCCAAGCTGCTTAACCTGTCCATTCTCAGTGACACCCAGCATCCAGGGGTCAGGGGCGCCCCGCAGAGTTCCTGCCAACCTAGATGTGCATGCTCTCACAACCAAGATGTATCACCTGGTTAGTGACGGCCCTGTGCCCACACCTAGTCCTGAGGGAAAGAGGTAGGCACTGCCTGCTGGCCCAGAGGCTGGCTGGGTGCAACCCTACATGGTCAAATAGCCATTTCATCTCATCCTGAGCAGGAGGTTCCCAGGGGCACACAGGTCTCCCAAAGTATGCCCCTCTCCCCTCCCGGCCACTCCACACCCCACTCACCAAACCATGCCTGCTGCTCCCCCTCAACCTCTATGGCCAGGCCAAAGTCTGCCAGCTTCACAGCAGCACCCTTGAGCTTCGAAGCCAGCAACAGATTCTCAGGCTTCCCAGGACCAGGGAGGGAGAGATGGAAAGAGGGACCAAGAGATAGTCAGTAGGTTTGGAATCTCACCTGCAGCCTGGGCATAGAAGAATAATGACTGAATGGCCCAGGATCCCACCCCCTCCCATACCTCCAGGTCCAGCATCCTGAGTCCCTGGGCCCAAGAGGGGGACTACGGCAAGACCCTCAGCTTTTGCAACAGAATGATTCTTCCGCCCACAGCATCCCCAGGGTTGAGAGCTGAGGCTGAAAAGAGCTGAGACAGACTAGGGTGGCCCAGCCCAGCCTCATTAAGAGAACAGCAGCGTCTTTTAGAACCAGCACAGTATTGTGGTCCACCATCAACCTCCCACCGGTCACCCCAGAGACTTCAGGACAGGTACCAGGCCTTGCTTCCCCCAATGACCACTTTCACCCCTCAAAACAGCCCTCCAGTCCCCAGCTCAGGGCCTTTGCATTGCCCGTACTCCCTACATGGCTTGTTCTCCTCCCAAAATCTCTGTCTTTCTCTCAGACTCGTGTCAGCCTTCCAAAGAGCTCTCTCTCACCAGTCCCCTCCCCCAGCTCCTTTTGTTAACTATGTGTTATCAGGGGTATAAAATGGAGAAAGCAGGGCTCTGAGGGACTGTGTGATTTATCACAGCTGTTCAATGATGGATGTCAGAATCAAGGCAAAGGCTGACTCCATCCTAAAGACAGCGGGGCTTGGCTGTGGGACCGTGGTTGACATGGAGGATGCCCACAGCTGACACCTGGGGCAGCAAGGCTGCTGCCTCTGGCTTAGGTACCCAGATTTTTTTTTTCCACTTCTTGCATCTTCCTACCACCTTGAGACTCTGGACATAGGGGAGCTAGGAGTATGGATTCCACGCTTTGTCTCAGCTTCTCATTCCAGTGCTGCCACGGCTGTGATGGAGCCCGGCCAAGTGAGTTCCCTTCTCTGATGCTTGGCTTCCTTTCAGAGAAAAGGGACAGATGCCTGTCTTGTAGCACAGTGTCTAGGTGTGTAAACAGCAGTTCTGCTTTATGTACACCAGGCCCCAGGGCTCACACTTCCTGCTGGGGGCGGGGCTGAAGCACTCTGTAGAGACAGCTGGTGTCTGCTCTGGCTCTCACTCTGCCCCCAGCAGGACTTCCAGGGGCCGCACCAGACCTTTCACAGTCCAAAGCTAGCATGGTCCAAAGAAATAAGGCCCTTCCACCTGGCTTGGTGAGGCCTCCTTCGTCCTCAGGGGCTGTGTTCCCAACATGTCCTGTGTCTCAGTAGTGTCCTGCCCTGATTTGACAAATGTACCCTTAATTAGTGATTCCAGAGTGGCCTAAATCTGGGCCACTTCTCAGCTCTCCTGCTTCCTCTTTCCTAAGCATGGTCTGTTCCGAGAACAGCCGCTTGGGGAAAGCCACTCTGCCCTCGGACTGAGACCTTGTTCCCGAGTCCACCTTTTTGTCACCGAGGTAGAAGGAACTCAGCTGGGCCACAGCTGAGACCTCAAGGAGAGCCTGAGGTAATAAGAAAGAGCTAGGGAACCTTTTCAGAGTGCTGTGCCCTGAAGAAGGCTGGAGATTGGCTGGTTGCTGACCAGGGAGGCTATCCTGATGGGAATGGGGATTGCTGCTCTGGGAAGCCTGAAGAGGATTCCTCGATGACTCTGGGGCTCCTAAGTCCTTTTGCATTCCAAACTGGGGCTGCAGGCAGTGTCCACAGTGAGTGTAAGCAGGAGTGTTCTTGCCAGGGCTACCCCACAGGATGTCTGAACAGTTGCTGATGATCAAGGTTCCTGGACACCTGGCACTCTTGTCCCAGAGCGGCTGCTGCAGAAGCTGAATTGGATTAAGCAGCTTTCTGGACCTACACTGTGGGGGAGGGGGTCACAGACTCTGGGGTGAAAGCCAGCCAGGGATCCTTGTGCCCTGCTCAGACTCTGCTGAAATGCACACCCTCGACAAAGCCCTTGGATTCTCTTGGTTTGTTTCCTGTTTTGTAAAATAAGGGTTCTATGAGTTACTGACTGCTGATGCCATAAGGCAGACAGAGGAGATCCATGAGGTCCATACTTATTGGGCAAGGCCAGGCAGCCCATGACAATGCTAGACTTCTTAGTGCTATCCCTTTCCTTCAGGTGGGCGGAAGGGGGCACACAGGATCCCCAAGCCCTGTTTTCTTCTCCTCTGCCTGACAGAGACTCAGGAGCAAGAGTAACAGGATGTCTGTATCCCAGGGATGTCGTGGTTTCATTTGACAGACTCATCAATGGGGCAGAGGTTGCCATGACAACCCCTGGGTAGGGAAGCTGAGTCACCTGCAAGATACTCCAGCCAAGGGGTTGGAAAGATGGCTCAATGGTTAAGAGCACAGGCTGCTCTTCCAGAGGACCCGGGTTTGAGTCCTAGCGCCCACATGAAGGTGTACAAACTGTCTAAATAAGTCCAGTTCTAGGGGGCCCCCAATGTCCTCTTCTGGTCTCCATAGTCATCAGGTATGTGGTGTACATAGGCACACACACATGTGATGCACATATACACATGCAGGCAAAACACTCCTACGTGTTAAGAAGAAGAAGAAGGAGAAGGAGAAGGAGAAGGAGAAGAAGCCCACTAGCTGCCAGGCAGCAGACTGAGATCAGCTTCCTTCCCAGCCCACTGGGAAGCCCCAGTTCCACACACCTCACCCTCACCTCCTGGCACAAAAGGCATGGGACCTAGACCTAGCAGTCCTACCTCCCTGAACTCCATTTCCTGACCTGACAGCCTTCCCAACTGGAAAACACAGCCACCCACCTCAGGGTGACGAAAGTACAGGAATTTGGGGAATGCAGAGCTGAGGGCCTGGGCTGCATTAACGGAGCGCCTTCCCCAGGCCCTGGCGGCGGCAGAAGGAATTTGGGCGGTGCTTGCGAAGGGGGCTGGAGGGGAGTGCAGAGGCCGGGACTCTGGCTTCTCCGGGGCTGCTCACCTTCAGGTCTCGGTGTACCACCCCCATCTGGTGACAGTGCAGCACAGCCTCCAGGATCTGCTGGATACAGTGACTGGAGAGAAAGGGGAGGGGGAGGTCAGGCCCCTCGGGGAAGCTGACTGGAAGCACGGATACACTCCCTCCAGGAGCCTCTGCCCGGCTGCCCCGATACTCACCTGGCATCGGCCTCGCTGTAATACTCCCGGGCCACGATGTCTTCAAACAGCTCCCCACCAGTGACCCTGGGGAGACAGGCATGGAGTCACCCTTCCACTGAGACTCCAGGTGCCACCTGACCTGGAGGAACTTTCTGGACATCATCTGGGTGTAGATTCATGAGGAAAAGAAGTCCCAACTTTGTTTTCTTTAGTTTGGCTTTTCCATTGTGTAGGTTTTGTAGGTGGAACAGCAGGTTTGGGGACTAAGCCTTTATAAACACTCGGACCAGTTCCATTCTTAACTGGCTGTGACGGAAGGTTTCCTGCTACTGGGAATCCAGATAGCTGTAAGTCTTTTGTATTACCTTTCTTAATGACCAGCATTCTTGGAGCTCTAGATTTAGGATTCGGGGGATATTCCCATACACCCGCAGCTAAAGATTTATTCTGATTTGGTTCTCTCTCATATTCAGGATTTAAAGATGGAAAGTCCTCAGCCTCAAACTGTCTGCGTTCTCTCTTGTCTTCTTGGAGTTGGAGAATGGCTCTCTCCTTCTTTAAAATCAAGCATGTTGTTAAAAGGAAAATGCAAACTCCCTGTATCATGCCAGAATAAGAGCCATCTGAAGAGTTGTGTCGTCGACGACTCACATCATAACGATTTTCTGTCCATGAAAAATTTTCAGAATGCTTCTCAAAATTCAATGATGACTTTGTTGATGATGGCGGAGTAGGAAAATTAAGCCAGGCTGGAGCAAAGTCATGCTGCGCCATTTAGGTCCAGTCTCTCCAACTCAGTGAAACAAGGCTTCAACACCTCATGGCAAGTCCAAATTCCAAGAGGACTGCACAGGAAGGTGCTGGTTTTTTCTCTATAAGCTTTATGTTTTCCAGTTTGTTTTTTTATTTTGTATCCTCTGAAATATCCAAGTTCTTTGAAGATACTTAACCTACGACTATTTGACATAGAGTTATTTGAAGTCAGCTACCCATATTTGTTTTGAAGTTTTCATATGGCTCTATCCAGAATTAGCCAAGTTCCTTGGATTCAAGAGCAAGGTCTTCTTTATTATTCCATGTATTTGTCACTGTTGTACTTATCCACTCCAGATGAAATATCCAATTTATGTGCAGAAAGCAGAAAAAGAAAACTTCACATCTGAAGCTTACTTCTACACATCAGCATACACAGAGACAAATGGCTATCTCAATCCTACCATGCTGGTGTGACACCGGAACATCTTACTCTCCCATTTTTCATGGACAGAAAATCGTTATGATGTGAGTCGTCGACGACACAACTCTTCAGATGGCTTTGATTCTGGTATTGGACGTCCTAATGGAGGTAATTTTGGGAGGAAAGAAAAAAATGGATGGCGTACGCATGGCAGAAATGGTACAGAAAACATAAATCATCGAGGGGGATACCATGGTGGAAATTCCCGTTCTCGTAGCAGTCTTTTCCATTCTGGAAAAAGCCAAGGACTACATGAAAACAGCATCCCTGACAATGACACTGGGAGAAAGAAGTAGCCAGAGAAGGAGGAGGACTTCAGGGGCCAACCACCCAGCTGCCGTGGAGTAAGATTTACAGAAGTGATTGAATTATGCAGATATGAAGATCATCTTCTAGGTTTTTAAAAAAGGCCTCGGATATTTCAAGTGGCCATTTTAGAATTACAGTTCTGTTTTTTTTTTTTTTTTTTTGGGTAATTTTGCCCCAGAAGTTTATTAAAATTGACAAGAATCATCTCTGAAGTGAATTGATAGTAGTAAGCCAATTCAACAAGCTGCTAAAAGACCCAGTCATTTCTTCAGTATTTTGGTTCAAACGGATTATATAAGTGGTTAAAGTATTTCGTCTGGTGTTATTTTCGTCTCTTCCCCCTCTCCTGTTGGTGTTCTTCAGCCAAAACTGTAAGATATGTTTGATTTGTGTACTGAGTAGTTTCAAATTACTGTTTAAATATTGCTGAAGTTTCGTGGCAGTTCTTTTTACCTTTATTGAAAGTTTTAGTAATTTTTGACTTCGGCTCTTTTCCTATTACAATGGGACAGCTTTTCTAAATGAAGACATTGAAAGAATACAGAGTTTTTTTCCCTTTTCCCGTTTCTTTACTTGGGAGAGTAAGATGTTCCGGTGTCACACCAGCATGGTAGGATTGAGATAGCCATTTGTCTCTGTGTATGCTGATGTGTAGAAGTAAGCTTCAGATGTGAAGTTTTCTTTTTCTGCTTTCTGCACATAAATTGGATATTTCATCTGGAGTGGATAAGTACAACAGTGACAAATACATGGAATAATAAAGAAGACCTTGCTCTTGAATCCAAGGAACTTGGCTAATTCTGGATAGAGCCATATGAAAACTTCAAAACAAATATGGGTAGCTGACTTCAAATAACTCTATGTCAAATAGTCGTAGGTTAAGTATCTTCAAAGAACTTGGATATTTCAGAGGATACAAAATAAAAAAACAAACTGGAAAACATAAAGCTTATAGAGAAAAAACCAGCACCTTCCTGTGCAGTCCTCTTGGAATTTGGACTTGCCATGAGGTGTTGAAGCCTTGTTTCACTGAGTTGGAGAGACTGGACCTAAATGGCGCAGCATGACTTTGCTCCAGCCTGGCTTAATTTTCCTACTCCGCCATCATCAACAAAGTCATCATTGAATTTTGAGAAGCATTCTGAAAATTTTTCATGGACAGAAAATCGTTATGATGTGAGTCGTCGACGACACAACTCTTCATCTGGGAAGGGCAGGGCCAGGGACCTTAGGACCTCAGCCCCCAGAGGAGGCACTGGATCGTGAATGTCCCTGCTGCCGCTCCCTTCCTGTCTTCTGACACAGCTGGCTTTCCCTGACACCTCTCCCTCCTCTCACTGGGTCCCGACTGATGGGGACAGTAACTCAGAAGCAGTCATTGGGTCCATGAGGCTCCTGGAGGCCCATGGGCCATTTGGTTTCATTTAGCTTATTTGGTTCACTTTTCTATTTATTTCTATATCATTTTTTAATTGAGTGGAAGCTATGGAGGCGATTTCTCATGTGCTCCTATCCCCAACATGTGCCCCCCCCCACCCCCCACCCCCGGCCCTTCCTCAACATCACTGTGTTTTACGGACCAGGCCAGCATCCTCACGGATTGCCGCTGGCCACCCAAGAACAAACGAGGCCTGTCATTTTGCTCCTGCTTTGACAAACCCGATTTCCAAATGAAACTTGAGATCGCCACCGTGAACGGCAAGGCAGCATCACCGGCCACAAATAGAGACGCAAAAAATAAACCGATGATGCTAGATGAATGTGTCTGGTGTTTTAAACAGGAAGACCAGCTTGCACAGCGTGGGGAGCGGCCCTACTACATGCAGGGGAACGCTAGGGCAGCCTGAGAGCATGCAGGATCCCTCAGGCCAAAGAGTACGTGAGGGTCATCCCTGCCTAGGCACCCTTCCCCCATGGCCCATGAGGGTGTGTGTAAAAAAAAAAAAGACTTACAGATCGAAGATCAGGTAGTGGTGTCCCTCTTCAGAGATGCTGTCATGGAGCCGGACTGTGGGCAGGGAGGGCCAAGGCAGCTGGTTACCCAGTGGTTCGCTTGCTGCTCTCCACCCGCTCTCCCCCTGTCAGCCTCCTGGAGTTACCACCTCAGCCCTCAGTCCCTGAGCACCAACCAGCTTTGACAAAAGCAGCAAAAGCAGATGGAATGAGCTCACCCCACCAAGACCTCCAGCATTACTGAAAGGCGTAAAGACTGAAGACCTCTGTGTGTCGGCTCGGTCCCTCTCCCTGTTCTAACCCTCGGTTTCATAAAAGAGCCCTGGGTGCCAGTCTCCGCCACGGACTGGCTGGTTGGCGGTGGGTGGGCAAGTGGCTAGGCCTCTCTGAGCCTCTTTTCTCCTTATTTGGACCTCGCTACAAGAGGCCCATGAGGTGCACAGCCGTACCCACTCGGTGCTGGCCCTGGATTGACATCCCTGCTCTGCTCGAAGTCAGAGAGACAATGGTGTTCCCGGGGCTGGAGTGAGAGAGACAGCAGTTGGTTCCTGAACTCTGATGGCTGCAAATTTGTCATCTCTTCACACCTCATTTACCAGGAACAGAGGCAAGGCTCCCAGGAGCCCAGAGCTCCCTAAATTGCTCAGCTTTTAAAAGAAGGGCCTGCGGCCGGCCTAGGACTGACTCTGGAAGGAAGCTCTGTGCTGTCAGCCAAGGACCAGTTCTCACAAGCTAGGGGCCCGTCCTTCTCTGTGCCATAGACCATCTGTGTAATGGGGGGGAGGGGGAGATGGGGATCTGGCTGGGACAATTAGGATCCTCCTGCACGATGGAAGGCACACAGCTGTTCGGATGACTCGGCAGTTCACCTGCTGGTTGGAACCTTCTCCAAACTCTGCCGTTTGGTGGGAAAGCAACGTGTAAAGCTGTGGGGTTCTTTCTAAGAAGATGTTTGAGCTCAGGTCTGGTGCAAGTCTGTCTAGGAAGATGTAGAGAAGTGGGCAACAGGATTGTAGGCCCCCTTCTCACTGGAAACCGTAGCTAGCATCACTGGGTGTTGTGCCAATGGCCTTGAGCTACAACTCAGTATGGCGCCCTTGAGTGGCTCATGGTCCTCAGACTCGTACATAAACTTGGTGGGCTCAGAGGCAATTCCTGAATGGATGCCCCAAGGGACAGGAGATAGCCACCAGAGATAGAAGATGATGGGATGGGGTGTGGTTTGCACAGACTTAAATGAAAATGTTAAGATCTTCTCCATTTTTATAGCGCTGGGATTAAACAGAGTAAAGGATGTGCTCTACCACTGAGCTGCATCCCCAGACCTAGGTCTGTTGCTGTTGTTGCTGTTTATTATTTGTTTGTTTTTAGAGAGGGTCTCCTTGTGTAGCTAGCGTCCAGCTAGCCTCAAGTGCACAATCCTCCTGCCTCCCAAATGCTGGGATTACAGGCATGTCATGTGCCTGAAATGTTAAGCCAAATGTAAAACGTGCATTCTCTTTGAGGGTTTTATTTTTGTTTGTATTTCTGCGTCTCTCTGTGTGTGTGTGCACATCAGTGCAGGCGCCAGCAGAGGCCAGAAGGCCTCAGGTCCCCTGGAACTGGAGTTTCAGGTGGCTGTGTTGGGAACCCAAGTCAGGTCCTCTGCAAAGCAGTAAGGACTCTTCATCGCTGAGCCATCTCGCCAGCTTGTGAAAGAGTTCTTAAACGCTGATAAGCTGTTCCGGCTTTGGGTATGAAGTGTCTCCCAAGAAGGCTCATGTGTTAAAGGCTTGCTCTGTAGTAAGCAGTGCTATGGGGAGTGACTGGATCATGGGGACACTAACCTCACTCATTCGACGTATGCTCCCATGAGGAGTGAATAGATGAATGGACTATGGAGCACGATTCATGAATATCTCCTTCATGACTTCAACTTCTCTTCCCTGTCCCAAGCTATTCACTGAACTCTCAGGTTATGACTAGCCCCAACAAGGTTTCCCATGCTCTGGCATGGGCATGGACTTCTGGGGTCTGTCTATCACAAGTAGTGATGGCACCGCCCTCACCCAGGCAGGAACAGAGGGGTAAAAGGTCTGCAGACACAGCTGAATCAGGCTGTGCTGATATCCCCACTCCCATGCCCTTGGACAGGGCAGTGGACACAAGCAGATAACAGCCCATCCACCTTGCCTGGATTGGCCAAGCAGGCTAAGATCTCATGAGGTTTCTCTGGGCACGATGCCCTCTGGGCTTCTGCACCACATCTATACCATGTTAGGTTTCTCTGGCAAGATCGCCGCAAGAGCTTAAAGCAAACTGTTGGGCAGGGGCCAGGGCCTTTCCAGCTCCCCAGCAGTGGCTCATGGCTTCTGCTCCTCTGAAATTCTTCTGGCTACATGCTCAACCCTGCTCCCCCCAAGTAGTCATGTTTACTCGAGCCCTTATTTCTCCCGACAGCCTCAATGCCTAGGAGAGGTCTGGACATATGGTAGAACCTCCAGCGAACTTGACGTTGTATGAGTGAGGAGTGAACAGCTCCACGGAGACAGGGAGAAAGGTGGTAACTCATTTCGGGGCTCTTGCACCTCAGCATGTCAAGGTGTCTCCCCGTGTCGATGGGGCAGAGCAATGGTGGCTGTGTGGGGTCACAGGTAAAACTTCTCTCCTGGGGAGATCACGCCCAAAAATGGCAGACTGGGATCTGGGGCGGCCGAGCAGTGTAAGGCACATTCACTCTGTCATGGCATTATTGAATTACCATACCCAGCCAGGAAAGGATAATTCTGCACTTCCAGAGAAGTCTGAATTTCAGAGTGGTGAGGCAATGTGTATAGCAGGGTCGGTCACACAGTAACAAAGCGGTGTTTGAGCTGCAAGTTGTTACCCCACGGCCCATGTATTCCCATTACAGACGGGAACAGGAAGGAGAGAGACGTAGACAAGAGCACTGAGTTCAGACAGATCAGCTGCAATGCCCAACCCCACCTAGATACATGTGTGTGTGCACATCACACACATACACAGATACCACCACATACAGACACCACACATGTACAGAGAGATACCACACATAGACATACTTACACACAGATACCACACACACACACACACACACACACACACACAGAGAGAGAGAGAGAGAGAGAGAGAGAGAGAGAGAGAGAGAGAGAGAGAGAGAAAGGGAGAGACAAGCACTCAGAGATACACATACACAAAGAGACACACATACAGAAACATATGCACACAGACACTACACATACAAAGACACACACAGACACTCATACAGAGACACAGACACATGCACAAAACAGAGATATTACAAACATATGCAGATAACACACACACACACACACACACACACACACACACACACACACACACACATCAGCACATGTATACCGCTGTCCTCCTCCCAAGCTGACAGCCTCCTGGAGGACATGGGGTTTCTGTCAGAGCTCACTGAAACCATCCATCAGCAGCGAGGGGTGGAGGACCCAGGTGAGCAGAGCATGGTCCAGCTAGGGGCCTCCTCCAGCTGTGGCCTTTGCCTCTTTGCTACTGGCCAGCCTCTCTGGCTGCTGTGCAGAGGGGCGGGGCCTCTGGTATAAATAGCAGATGGAGCATTCTCCCTGGGGAGAGTTAACCCTTCCTGCTCTGTGGGAGAAGGTAAGGCAGTTGGAGCTGGAGCTTCCTCAGAGAACTCAGAGGCAGCTCACCTGGAAACAAGCCCTGGGAACCAGTGGCTTAGCTTCCCCTCTGTGAGAGGCTGTGAGAACTTCGACACCTCAGCCCATCGGAGCAGAAGCTGCCATGACACAAGACGCCCCGGGGTGAGCAGACAAGGACAAGCGCGGGTAGAGATGAGGGGAGTGGCTCGGAGAGGGTGACTTTCCCACTAAGGTCTCACAGCTATTCCCTGACAGAACAGGACCTAACAGCCACGCTCCTCCCCGACTGGCCCAGCCAGATGTGCAAGCCAGATGCACAGGAGGGGAAAGGGGCCGCGAGACAATGAAGTGTGTTTCAGGACCTTCCCTGTGGTCCTGCCTCCACGGACCAAGCATCTCCATGAGATTGCTCTCAGTCTAACTCTGGGGCAGGGGCCGAGCTCCTGGAAAGGCAAGAGGCAGGCGGAGGAGCAGGACTCTGAAGCAGGATGGGGGGCCACAGATCCAGGCTGACACTGCATGTGGTGGGTCGGGGCGTGGGCCTTGCTGGTCAAGGCCATGCTTCCCCCTGGCCTATTTTCATCTTTCTTTTTCAGCTTCGAGAGCTTTCCTGAAACAGCTTTTCCGGAGGAGGATGCTGGCAGCGTGGGAGGGAGGAAGGGTCCTTTTTTTTTTTCACCTTCCCCCAAAGCAAGCTGGTCCTGAGCAAGACGCCCCCTTCCCCATCTCCCTCCACAGCCTCCATCCCCAGAGAAGAAAGTGGCTGCTCCCTACCACCTCACACTGCTCCAGGACCCCCTCACACCCCCAGGGCTCACCGATATTGGGGTGCTTCAGCAAGCGGCAGATGCGGGCCTCACGCTCCAGCTTCTGGTGATCTGAAATACAGATTCCCACGTAAATCCCAGAGAAGTTAGACTCCCACCCTGCCCCTGTTGTTCTTACCTCCCAGGGTGGCCCCAGGTACTGGACAAGGTGGCCTATGTATCAGGGCTTCTGAGTTCCCAGACAGAGTGGTGAGAGGGAGCTAGATGAGCCTCTCTCCCTCTCTAGGCCTCAGTATGCAGGACTCTTCAAGGACAGCCTTCTCCAACACCCTCTTGTATGGCGAGGCCCAATCACCCGGAGGTCTGGAGCCCTGATACAACTCCCTGTAGCTCCTCCAGGCCTGCCTTCAAACCCTAGCTCCAGACAGATGAATTTCAGAGTTTTCCCTTCCTAGTTCCCCCCTGGGAGCCACCAGTTCACTGGCAGGGACACCATATTACCAGCCATTGCTCCATCCTACCTTCCCTTAATGTCATTGGTTTCTAGAAGCCCACCCTGACTTTAAGCCTATAGGGACCCTCCTCTGGGCTCCAGAGGGAGAGGCAACATCTTCATGTCTTATAGGACCTACATCCTCGGGCAGGGTCTCTGTTGTACCACCTGCATCTACTTGAATGCCTGGTACATGTTAGTTATTCAAGAAATCACCAAATGGATGGATGGATGGATGGATGGATGGATGGATGGATGGATGGATGGTGGGTGGGTGGGTGAATGGATGGGTAGATGGATGGGTGGGTGGAGTGGGTGGGTAGATGGATGGATGGATGGATAGTGGGTGGATGGATGGATGGGTGGGTAGGTGGGTGGGTGGATGGATGGATGGATGGATGGATGGATG